AATTTTGTTACCTACAATGTGCCAGGTTCTGTGTTAAACACCAGGATTACAATATGAATAAATTCTATTCACCATCCTTTTCCCCCCGTGCCCGATTAGGGAAGATTGACTCTTTGACTAATAATTAGAGCAAAATATTGTGTGCTGTAAAAGTAGTATTTTATTTTATAAATTGAGGAGGCATTGATCTGGGTTGTTGGGCTTACTTGTGTTTAAAGACCCAAAGCCTTTGCCTTCTAAAACTATAGTCTCAAGGGAGATTCAGATGATACATGAATTACATGCAACATACCAGGTAAGGAAATGTCTGAAAGGGCTTCACATAGAAAGTAACAACTGAACGGTCCGGAAGAATGAAGGGTTTATCAGATAGTTGGGTACAGGCGTGAAGAAGTGAGAAGCATAGGGAATGGAATATGAAAACACAGAGAATTAATTGTAGCTCACTGAGCTGATAATTCTAGTTGTATTTTTAAAATACCAAACCCAGCTTCCAACAGTCTTGGAGAATTATGCTGAAACAGCTAAGATCTGCGCTGCTTCAAGTAGCACTTAAAGAAAATGTGAATGTCATGGCAGCAGATTACACAGCTGTGACCCAGGACACCCACAGGGAGAAAAATCAGGGAAAAGCTGTCACCCTTACAAGTATCACTTCTCTGACCATAACTACTTAGAGCATTTTGAATCCTCTTTCGAACAGGCGGCCACATTTTCATGCTCAGGCTGTTTCTCAGAGAGAGGTCATTAGATTCTTCCATCTCCATAACAAAAAATCAAAAGCAGCCCTTTTAAAAGTAATTGCATGGTTCCAGCCACATGTCTCCCTCCACCCCCTTATTGAGTATCATTCACTTAGGACTGACCTACTTCCCCTCCTAAATTGGAGGTTTGCATATGTAATTATATCAAATGATGAGTTTGTTTATATCTCCAAACCACATTCAAAAGCTTGCCTATGATTTAACTTTGAAATTCAATTTCATCATTTCAGCCCCCCATTTACAGTGCCCAGTGGGTCTACAGTTACATGTGTAATGCACACACCTCTCTCTTGTATAGATTACGGAATGGGGTTGCCTTCGCCAGTGATGAGCCAGCGTGGTTGAGGAGAGAGGTTGCTCTGCTTTGTCTTGTTCTCTGTTCTGAGGCCCAAATGCATTCAGCTACAACAAAGTCATTATAAATGAAGAGGCAGCGCTGGTCATTTTAACTAACTCCTCGGGACCAGGAAGGATGGCTCACTGTATTCTTTTCTGACTGTAAAAAATGGCAATGCTACTGAGGTGCCATAGTTCATCCTAAGAAGGTACTTTCAGCAGGAGAAAAGCTTTTATGGCTTGTTGGTTTAGCTGACCCTGGCTTGATAACAAGATATATTTTTTCAAGATTCTGATAACAAGATGTATTTATTTATTTTCAACTGCAAATAACTACCAGTTGTTGCTTTAACCCTAAAATCTCAATGTTTCCAGATTCCAGATTCCCATGAACAAGCCCAATCAACTCCCCTGATTTCAGCCCTTCTTCATGCCTGAGGCCTAAACTAAGTAACCCATTCATTCATTCATTTAAATATTCTTCACAGCCTGCCTTTTCCAAATATGAAAGACATGTTAAAACCTTAGTCAGCATTTATGATTTTCTACTGATTTTTTTAAAAGCTTTATTAGCATATAATTTACATGCAGTAACCTTCACCAAGTTAAAGGACACAATTTAATGGTTTTGAGAATATTTACACAATTGTGCAACCGTTACCATAGTCTGTAATTTTAGAACATTTTCTTCATCTCTCCAAAAAGAAACCTTCCACCCATTAGCAAACTGACACTCCCTATCCCTATTATACCACCTCATCTGATTTCCTACTGACTTCCACTTTTAACTTACATTTTATTTCTTGCTTTTTATTTCGTATCTGTGAAAATAAAGGTGGTAGAAGCCAAGAGAACTGTAACCTGCAGAGGCTTGCCTGTGTCCTTTTACTCCAGGAACAGAAACTGCTTGTCTTCCTCACAGCTCCAAGTTCACTGTTGTGTATATTGTTTCAGACTTTTTAGGAAGCTGGTCTCTCCCTTTTGGCTGATCCATATGTGAGACACACATCGAGGTGAAGGTATGCAGGTGAAGGGGACCTTTCAGCTCTCCCAGTTATGTGTGGGCATTGTCAAAATAAGTGAATGTCCTAAAGAATTGCCCTAAGAATCGTCAGGAGAGGAAGCTGACCTCTTCCCTGTGCACAGCCACAGGACAATGGGCTATGGCCATGTGACCCCTGGGCAAGGAGCACCTGCGATGGTAGAGAGTCCCCAGAGGAGCAGAGGGCAAAGGGGTCCTGGTCTTTTGTGGCTGAAAGAGCAGCAGGGTAGAGGCCAGCAGCCCTTTCACGCATTTATAGCCTCAATATAACAAGCTTTTTCTCATTCCCATCGTGAACTCTAATAGAGGAGCCCCCACACAGGAGAGGGGAGGCTACGTGAAAGATTTCCCCACCTTGTGAGAAGAGAGTTACTCCCCACTTTGAAATAGCCTCTGTGATATATGACCTTGTCCAATAGAATGGCCCAAAAATGAAAGGAAAGTGTCAGATGTGTGTGTTAAACATTCGCTGGAGTGACCACACAGACCCTCTGTCGATGTGAATCAGGGGGCTATGCCACCCTTTATTCCTCTCCTCACCTCTCCTCAGCAGGCGCTCACACGCTCTCTCCATCACCCTACCCCACACCCACACACACAGAGCCTGATGTTCTGATCTGGGCACTAGAGCAGTTCAGTCTGTTTCATTCTTAAGCATGTCTGGTCAGAAGAAGTAAGGTCAATGTAAAGTCAGAGTGAGGTTCAACAAAAGATGATGGAACTGATAGCACCTTTCTCTTAGAATCAGAGGATTATCACAGCCCTCATCCCAACAGATTCTGATAGTGTAAATGAGGGTTGGAGCAGGGAGACAAAATCTGTGCTTTTGACATTTCCCCAGTGATTCTGATGGCCAGCTAAGCTAAGGAAGGAAAGTTTCTGATCCTCCTTGACCTTTCTGGTGGCAGTCTTCCCTCCTTCATCTCTGACACTAGCTCTCTACACCCAAGAGTGCCTAGCATTGCTCATTCACACAGAGGAACTCTGCAAACTTTGTGCGTGCACATGTCACACAAGCATTTCCCACCCACAAATACACCCTTTACACGCAAAACAATACCCTCCTAAACAAACGCATTCCAAGTCTGTAGCAAAACTGAAGAATAAAGTATAGTAGATCTCTTCCAGAGCAACTTTTCATTAACTAAGCATTCATGAGTTCCCATTCTTTGTTTTAGTTGAAGAACTAGGTAGGCATCAAAGTTTCCGAATCAAAAGACAGTCTCTTCCCATGAGGTACCTCTGTCAGTTTGTCTAGCGGGGAAATACAGACATGTGAACAAAAGATTCTACTATAAGGCCGAGATCAATAATGGAGAGCACTGGTTGCATGGGGGTAGAGCAGATGGCCACCTAACCCTGTTAAACAGGGTCAGCAAAGGCTAACATCTGAGCTGAACTTAAAAAAAAAAATCCTAGCTCAGCATAGTAACATACAACTTGGGTGAATACGGTTAATAATAGTGTATTGTACATTTCAGAATTGCTAATAAATTTCAGATGTCCTCACCACAAAAAAAATGATAAGTATTGTAGGCAATGGATGTGTTAATTCACTTGAGTTCATTATTGAATCATAACCTCATTTTGCACCCCATGTATTTATATGGGCATACCTATAACTTGTCAATTTACAATGAAAAGAGAAAGAAAAAAATATCTGGGGCATGTTCCAGAATGAATTCATGGAAAGACAGCCGGTTTGTGTACTGGAAACACGGGTTTTCCTCCTGTGGCCAGTGTGGAGGTGGAAGGGAGCGGGGACAGCTTGTAAACAGCCATGCTACCCGAGTGGGATATTATTTTGAAGGCCATGGGGAGCCATTTAATTTCCTGTGGTATCTTCTTAGGTTTCTCTAAAATCTGCGTACTCCCACTCACCACTTCTGTATGAGACAGAAACCTGAGGTCAAGAGCTCTTCCACAGCCCCTGGTGAAACACATTTCCACAGTGCACCTGCCTCACCAGCACTGGGAGCAGGCTTTTCATAGGGCTTTCCTCTGTTCCTCCACCGTGGATCAGCATACACCAGGAAAGCAGCCCACCCCATATTCTCTTGAGGGACATCATGGAATCAAGAAATGGAGAATAAGTTTGACCTCCTAATTGCCATTTGACAAAAAGGAACAATAAAACCTGCAAAAGACAAATTGGTGCAATAAGCTGAGAGGCCTTGAAGGTTTTGTCTTCTCATTTTCTTTGTCTTTATACTCAAAGGGGTGATTTGCTTATGAGAAACACCATTAGAAGAAAAGATAGGTATTTTTCATGTGGAACTGATCTTGTATAAAGATTCAAACACATAAAAGAAAATGATAAAATTACAGTATGAGATCTTTGCTATGTAAGTTATTAAATCTGAAATAATTATGTGTACAAGTAGTGATTACAGAAATAACCTTTGTCAAGTATAACAAAAATTATAGAAGCATATAAAAGTTAAATAAGAAAGTTCTGTTTCATAGCCTGAATCTAATCAGCATAAACAACCTATTAATTGTTCAAGAACTCTAAAATCTTTAATGAGGTTTCTACTGTAGAATTTCAGTCATATGCAAATGAATCATTGGAACTCTTCATTACCAGAAAAACAGCGATTCTTTAGTGAGTTTTTACATCCCCAGAGTGATTACAGTACCCCAACTGTGGTAGGCAGGCTGAAACCATTTTTTAGGTTTTCTTTGTAAATTTTACTTTCTTTAACGAATATTTCTTGAGACCATTCTGATTGTCACGAGGGGTTGAAAAGTTACAGTTCATCCCACTTTTGCTTTTCCTTTAAATGGACTCGTTTCCCACACTCAGTAAGCTGTTTGCCCCAGATATTTAAAAGTTAAATGTTCTCATTTCTACACAGGTCTGATTACAACAACTTCAAGAAAATTGGATCGAGAACAGCAGGCAGAACATTTTCTGGAGGTAAGCACATAGAGGGAACTGGAATTCATTAAAACTGACTTTCACTAAACTTCTTTAACCTTCAGCATAAACTACAACTCCAGTATATTTAGACATTGGATGTCAAAGTGAAGATATTTCTTTTGGGAGGCTATGTTCAGAATTCAGGGATTTCTAGTGTGTTCTTCTCAGCATGCCCCTGTGTGCTGAGCCAGGGTGGCAGGGCAGGCTTTGCCTTTTGCTGAAGACAATAGTGTATCATCATCTCTGCCTTGACTTCAGGCATTCATGTCAATAATCAGAAAAGACAGTTCCGAAACAGAGCCTCATGAGCCGCTTCGGTTACAGATGGAAAGAGAGAGCAAAAGGGCGCCTATTGTGAGAAAGCTTTGCTTTCCTCCACCTTTTTTGGTGGGGGAGGGAGAGAGGAGAGAAAAATAAAGCTGCTGGTTAAGCCACCGCCAGGGATGACTTAGGCCTGAAACCATAAAATGGACTCCTTTAATTCATTAAGACAGAAACTGCAGCAATATAAACTCTAAAAGACATTATTTCTGAAGAGATGAAAAAAAAAAGCCACGAAATAAATATGAAAGAGCTTTGCAGGACATTCTTTCTATACGCATCGAGTGTCTTTCTTGGGAAGCTTGAAGCCCGGGTAGTTAGGACACCGTGATTTAATTGTGACAGTGTGATATGAAGCAGACGACGATGCTTAGAATTCAAGGCTTTGTGAAGGTTTTATAATGTGTCCATACTTCTAAAATAATCTTTTAGTTCCTAAGAATCACTTTCTGGAATCCACCACCCCTCCTGACACACACACACACACACACACACACACACACACACACGCACATGCACACAAACACACCTTTGAAATCTTATAATAGAATCTCTTCTGGTCTGTTCCTTTAAATCAGCTCACCAATCATGATTTATTTAAAGAACACTGGAGTAGGAATCAGGCCACCTGGGTCTTGAAGCTGCCATGCTGTGATTAGCTTGAAGCTATTTAATTGCCCTGAACCTTCGTTTCCCCTCCTATGAAATTTGGCAAATAATTACAATCTCTTACACCTCAAAGGCTCATTCTTAGGATCAAACCTCCTATTTTATATCAAAAGTATTTTTAAAACTTTTAAAGCATTACATATGATAAAAGATGATTATTATTACTATCATCATCACACAACACTATGATAATCCTTTTAAAACATTACTATCATCTTATAAAGATAAAAAGCTCCAGGCTGCCAAAAAATAATTAGAGTAATTCTTTTTTTTTTTTTCCAAAATCCTATTAACAGGCTGCAGTACCTACCTGGTCCAGAATTTATGTACATTTGCCAGAAAAATAAGACCTTATATTATATTTATGGGCTTCTTCCCTTTCCAGAAGACAGTCCACGACACCTGGAGAGGCTGTTTTCTCAGTTGGTTGAACCCATTCCTTCCCAGAAGGAAGCAGGAAGGGTGTCTCATTATCTGAGAAGTCTGGCTGAGATCACTTACTGCTTGGTCCCTTGCAAGGTGGTGTCTGTTGTCAGGGCGTTTGTGGCGCAGAGTGTGACTGTCACCGGATGGGTCTGTGGTAGAGCAGAGAGGAAGAGTATTTCCCAGGCATTCGAATTCACTCCCCAAAAGAACTCTGAACTTATTCACATCCTTTACAGACTGACGTAAATACTGAGTAATGTTTTGCTACCTTGGACTAATGCGGATTGAGATCTAGAACATCATGGATCAGTACAAGTTGAAGATCCCCTTAGCCGAAATGCTTGGGATGGGGTGGGAGATGTGAAGAGGAGTCAATAAATTAGTACAAACATATGGTGTGATGCAAGACATAAGGCTCAGGATTGAATAGATCATTAGGGTGACTGGAGTTTATAATAATCTATTGCATATTTCAAAATAGCTAGGAGAGAAGAATTAGAGTGGTTCTATCATAAAGAAGTAACAAATGATTAAGATGACAGATGAGCCAAGTACACTGATTTGATCTTTACAAGTACATGAATGTATTATCACATGTACCCTGAAACTATATACATCTATTATATTACAATTACTACAAAAAAATAATTTTAAAAATGCTTGGGATCCGAAATGTTTGGTATTTTGGAATGTTTGCAGTATTCTTAGTTGAGCATCCCTAATGTAAAAATCCAAAATTCAAACTGTTCCATTCAGCATTTCCTTTAAGCATCATGTTGGCGCTCAAGAAGTTTCAGATTTTTGAGCATTTTGGATTTTGGATTTTTACATTAGGGATATTCATCTTGTGCCTGGTGTCATCTGCATAAGGAAGTAGGACACCATAGCAGTTAACAACCTTATAAGGTTGTTGGGAGATTAAAATATAAACTACATGTAAAACATCCAGTTCAGTATCTGGTGCTAAGCAGGTGCTTAGTAAAGTGTGGTTATCATTGTTGATTATTGTAGTTTTAACTATTATCACAAGATGACATAGTATCAGAAACTTTCTAAAGATTTAATAGCATCTCCCTACTCCAGGAAAGATAGAAGCTCCAGACCACTGAAATGCAGAAGGATCCCCAAGTAGCAACCCCTGGACTCAGTGCACCAGGGACTGCTCTAAGTCCTGAGGACAGAAAGTGAAGGATGAGCAGGCACCTGGAAATGAATAAACGCTATAACTGCAGAAAGAAGCTCTCTGTAGTCACTGAATGAAGGCTCCATGATTGTGTCTGAAAGTGGGGAGTGGCGGGCAACATTCAGTAGACTGATGAGGAGGGCTTGTTCGACGTGGCATTTGATGACATGATGACAAGATTCTGTTCAAGTAATAGAATCAACAGCACTGTGATGAGGAGTGTAAAGGCAGAGTGGGGACGGGAGGGCAGGGCAATGTGGGAAGCTTTTACAGAGATCCAGGTGAGAGATGATGGTGGTTTGAATGAGGGTGAAGGGCAGTGGGTCAAGAAGGCAGTTGTCTAACACAAATCCTATCATGATTCCAGCTAGCAACAGCACACTGGCTTTTCTATGGTCTTCAGAGTGAAGATTTTTAAAACTGTAGGTCATCAGAATCATACCAACTTGCTCTCCAGCAACCTCGGCGCCCTACCCGTCTCCCAGGCTTGTCGCACACACTATTCATTTAGCAAATCTCCTGCTAAGGCTTTGGGAAACCAGTTCAGTGCCAACCGCTCTCTCCTTCTGTCGTCTCCCTCTTTTTCTCTCTCTCTTATATACGCTATCTTGCTCTCCTCTCTAAAATTGTACAATTTTGGCCACATTTTTTCTTCTACATGACATTGGTATGGGAGTTTGAACATTGCTTTTTTTCCTACATAGATCATAGAAAGAATGTTACTTTAACTTAGTCCTGCAAAAAAAAAAAAAGGTGAAGTGATATCATTGAGAATATGGAATAGAGTGGTGTGTTATACACAAAATTTTGAAACTGCTGATAAATTACGTGACTTGCAAGACCTAGGTGTAGGTAATTAATCTCCTGGAGAGTCTTTAATTGCCAAGATAACCTTATGCTCCTCTTAAACTCATATTAACCTTCTGGCTCTATTTCATCTCTCTCCTTCCCAATAAAGTAAAATTGACTCTTCTTGAAAGGATCCATTTAGAAGCTGACCCGGCAGGTACAGTGCTGAATAGATAGCCAGGAGGACATTAATGATTTGTTGGTAGTTTGTTATTCCCGTGGTAGAAAGCACTTTACCCGTATGCTGCTGAGACGCCATCTAGACGTTGTGTAAGATATTGAGCTTGATGGTGTATGGGCTGCAGGGTTTTTCAGTCTATAGAGCATTTGCCTAAAATCTGTTACTATAAAAGGAGGTTGTCATTATCAGAATCCAAAGGACTTGCTAAAACAACAAGAGCAGCAAAGAGCTATAGGCAGATTCACAAGTACATCTTATCCTTCTTCGGTGAATTCTAAGTGTTAACTCTTGCCTAGTTTGGAAGTCTGTGATGTGAAAATATTGGCCTGATCTCTTCCTACCATAAAATGCAGAAGTAAATAGTTTGTATTCCATTTGTTCAAAGTCATATACCTTCCTTGATACCCAGTTATGATTATAGTGGAGACAGAAGACTAATTCCAGCATACGGATGCAGAGAATTGATAATGGACACATAAATAAAACAGTGAATTAACGTTTTAGTTTGTTGGTTGTGACTTTAGTCCTGATTACTTCATTATCAAAGAAGGCAGCTGTGAAATAGGAAATAAATGCACTAATTCTTTCTTATTATATAATCACTTGTTGTATGTCTTGTGGTTTTTGTTGTTTTCGGGGGGGGATTTTTTGCTTTTTTGTTTGTTTGGTTTTTTTTTTACCTGTGAGATGTTTAAGCTCCTTGTGGGCATGCAACTTGATTTATTAAGACAGTGAATCAAGATAGTGTGTGAAAGCTCAGATGTTAAATTCAGATGTGCCTGTGATTGTATTTTGGTACTGCTCACAGAGCTTAGATGGGCTATTGAATTTCTCTGGATCCCATTTCTCTCATCTGCAAAGTGGAGATAACAGTTCCTACCATAGGGTTGGTATAAAGAGTATATTAAATGACAGGTAAAGTGTGCTCAAGACATCATCTGCCGGACAATACCTGTTCATGGTCATTATATGCATTATATGTTAGACTATACATGTTAATCATCTGTTAGACAATACATGTTCATTCCTTGGTCACCATGGAATGTCTTACTCATCTCTGTATTCAGGCATCTATTTGGCACCCTGGAAACAAGGGACACTCATAAATGTGTGAATGAATGCTTATATTAAGAGACATTATTTCACTTCTAAATGAGATCTCGAAGTGGGGAGAATTAGCATGCAGGAAAGAGCATGGATGTAGAGACAGAAAGAATGCTCAGCTTCTTTTCCTCTGCATGAGCATCGCCAAGTTCTATTAACTTCGTTCCTCTTTTCCTTCATCTGGAAAATGGGGTTAATCAACTTGCCTCAAAGATAAAATGCGTGGAAGGCCTGCCACACGTAGACGCTGCTCACCTGTTCCTC